GAGCCATAATCAAGCATTATGTATGGTATAATTGTAGAAGGGCTCGTTGGAGACAAGTAGGAAAAAACAGAACTAAATTCCGAGTCCAAACGAACGCGTACGAGCTCCCGGAGTGCAGCTGCGCGCCAGGCCTATCGCTGGCGCGACGCCCGTCACGGGCGCGACACTCTGGGCGCCAGGCATGTCGCGGGCGCGTCAGCCGTCACGGGCGCGACAGTCCATCTTCCGTAGCTTCTGTGAAACGCGACTGGCCGTCGCGGCGCGATGAGGTCGCGACACTAAAGCACCTGTTCGTATTGGAATGGTTCCTAACAGGTTTTAATAGACCGGGCACGTCCCAAAAGGTGCCTTTTGATGCCTTGAACCCCCTGGAGATGTGTTATAACATCTATAAACACCCATGAAGTGAAAGAGTCATATACATGAAATTTTCCAAAAGTCTTTGCATCCTTTTACAAAGTTCATATTCATCTTGTGTTCTTTGTATTCTTTCTTATCTTGAAAGTTCCGAAACTTGAGTATTGTTCGCCGAAGGTTTGTGTATTTGAGTTACTGCTATACACAAATCGAAGTCGTTGTATTTTGGAGACGTTAGCCGTGAACCGTGGGTAATATACGGGTCTATTTCGTCTTAAGGAGAGCGTACCTTACGTGCCTCGACTTTATTCGTTTTTTATCATTTTTCTTCTGATTACTTAAGCCATTTTATTGAGATTCACATACCACACAAATAATATAATCCTACAAATAGGATCCAACACAGAGTCAAGTCGAATTGTTAAGCCACTATAGGATTTCAAACCTAATTATTTATTAAAATCCATCCAAGCTAAATCACAAAGAATGAAAATTTGCCAAATCAGATTACGAAGCATGCGAGTCTGCCACTTAAGTTGAGCAAATTCGAGACTTATATTAAGGGGATTGTATTCGAGAAAATGCTATACATACACATAATACAATAAGAGTATTTTTATTGATACATCAGATCATACAAATTAAGAAACTCGCTAGTATTGCAAGATCTCGACCTCTTGATTAGACAGGATTGCAGATATTCAACAGACATCAAAGGCATATCTGTCCCCATAACACTCGCACACATTATTAGGGCTCTAAACATATATAGAGCTACAGATTATATAGTTATTATTAGATACTCGAACGTAAATTCAATACGTATACATATTATGCAGCTGGCGCCACTTTTGAGGCATCATCATCGTCGTCATCGTCATCACCATCTTCATAATCAGGTTCTCTAAGTGATTGAAAATCGCAGATGATGATTGGCCCAAAAAGTTTGGATTTCTCAATCTCCTTGCCATTAGTTATCACCATAATGAAATAATAACAAAATAAAAGCTGAGAAAATGATGATATGTGTATATATGTATATAGATATAGTGAATGGCTGAATATTTTAGTAAGGGCTAGAGCATATTTATAAAGCTTCAACAAAATAAGATTCTTGTTAGTAAGACACAAAAGTTGGGGGCAACTTGCAAAAGCAGTCCTCTAAATGAAAGGCATTTGCAAGAGAGTCCGGGAAAATTAATGAATTTGCAGTATTAATAGAGCTAACTTTTGCGAAATGGCTATGGACTGGAGTCTTTCATTGATGGCTTGGTTTGTATAATAAAAGTGTCTTTGTTAAGAATTTACTAGTACGAATCCCGTGAGAGATATTCATTAATATTTATAAAATTAAAATGCTCATTAATAATATATATAAATTAGAATGATAGAATCAATATGTAATATATTTTACCTATATTAATTATAGAAATGTTATATGAATTAAATTGTGCAACATTACATAAAACATGTCTATTTAAAATTAGTACACAACTCGTGCACGTAACTGAAAAAACATTATATTATATTCATTTCAAAATGAGTGTCATTTTATAATTTTTATTCAAAAATTCGATCTGAGTAAAATGTATTCTATGAAATAGATATTTTTGCCGCTATATGCAGCAGATCGCGGGAAGAATCTCATGGAGAGCGGCGGGGACAGAAGCCGATTGCCAATTGATTTAGAACGACACTGATGAGAATAAGGACGGGACAACGGGATTGTATTTTTAGACATAGGGACCTCATTTGCAAATTTGATAAGTCCCAAGAAATTTCAAGAATTTTACTTATATTTCAATTTAGTTCATGGTTCAAATTATAATTTATTAAAAAAATTAATAATTGTACGTT